AAAACGGAATATAACTGTGGCAAATATCGAATGAATTTACCGTGTTAGTGCTACTAAATGTAACCTAACCACGAGCAAGACACTGTCTCGTGTATCACGGAGTACTTTGTGCTTCCGAAGAATTTGATGCCCGGAGCCGACCGACGCGGAGCTAACCAGTGGTATCCTGGTCGAAATCGAACTGCCAGAAAATGATTTTCGGGCGGTATTTATATGATTAGCAACATCAGTGATTGTATGGGCTTCATAGGTAAATTATTCAAAAAAAATGAAAGGTAGTGAAGGGCAGTTGTCCGTGCGTCATCGCGTTTTTTAATTCCTGGAAATCAAAGTACTTTCATGAGTAATTTCGAAATTTACCTTGAGTCTTCAATTTGAAATAGAAAACGAGATGATACTTTCACTGTATTTTTAATACAAAATTACGTAAAAGTCATTGAAAATTGAAAGGTGTTGACAAAAAAAATAGAAATCTGAAAATTAGAAAGGGTGTCATCAAATATTGGGAAAGCTAGGCCAGATTTCCCTTCTACAGACTTCGAGGGTACGAGAAATTGTAAATTAAAAATTAAACTAATTATAACTAATTTTCTGGACAAAATTTTCACAAATAGTTCGAAGCAGGGTGCGAACTACGTATGTCACAATTGCATTGATTATGTACATTGTAATTGGATCAATGAATATATTACATATTAGGATAAAAGTATTCTTAAATAGGAAATATAACTGACAAGTAAAGCCAAAATTCTCCAAGGCTTATATACTAGGATGCGTAAAAAATATTTAGTTTGCTTCATCAAAAACTTACTGATTCCATTAAAATGATAAATTTATTGACTGTAGTTGATTCATTCGAGAGACCTAAAATTATCTGATTACGTGGTAAATTATAAGGGTAAGAAATAGTAGGTTCTGAATGCCAAAAGGGCATATTGCAGCTGTTTCATATAGTATTTTCATTAGTATTGCGCTAGAAGACCGAAGAAATTGATATACCTTCTTTTTGGCGCTTAACTAACTCTATTGAGGCTACATTATTTTGATTGACAGATGAATGATACAAAATTAATTAATTGTACTTTTATAACTATATTATGAGATTCATTAATTTGTTTAAATTCAAAATAAAAAATGAAATATCACTTCTATATTTTAGTAATGTATATCTCCGAACAAAAAAAAATAAATTTTTTGTTCTACTAGGAAAACTAAAATATTTTTGTCAATTTATTTCTAGCATCAAGAATCATTGAAAAAAATATTCAACCATAAAGTAAGTGACAATAACAATCAAGAGCTAAAAATTAGAATTGTTTTTAATATTTTGAAATAAATAAAATCGGTTGTCAAAAATTTTTAAAATATGTGTGAAAAATTTAAAATTTGACTAAGCTCTTTAAAATTTTTTCATCGATTATTTGGTTTAATACGAGTAGCAGCATAAAGTTAACTTACCAACAATGAAGTTGGAAACTTATGCCTTTCATCGTGTTTGGCTGTTTTAATTGCAGTTTTGTCTTTTGGTTCGATTTCTCGCTAAAACAGAGCAACAATATGTATGTTCGATAGTAAACATTACATTATAAAAAGCTAAATAAAAGTTTCTAAAATTCGACCATACATAAACGTTATGTATGAAAAAGTTACCTTCCTAGTTGAACCCAGCAGAGAATTTACTTGTTTCTGAAGAGATTTTGTAAAATCCTTATTGTTAATTTTTTTGACTGCTTTTGCTGAATCGGATGTATCACTTAACTCCGATGCACTCCGAGTCATATCTTTCGGAGGAATTTTAATCCTTTTTGTAAATAAAATTGTCTCAACTGCTTCTTTACTTTCTATAAGTTGAAATGAAAAATGGAGAAAAGAAAAAATATATTTTTTTCTACAAAACTATGATTTTTAATTCAAAATATTTTACCTTCAATTCCAATGACTAATCCTTTCTTAACAGATCCCTCATAATTGAAATGATAATATTTCATTTTATCATATTTTTTGGGCTGGAATTTATGAATATCCTTAACAGGCACAGCAATTTTATTGTTTTTGTCAAAAACAATACCTGCCCAAGAAGCATCGTTATTTTCTGTAATTATACAAAATATCAATAGTTATATGGTTAACTTGGAGGTTATAAAAAGTCGAAAAACTTGTCAGATTTTTTAGCAGTACATTGTTTGTTAAAAAGTTAATTATTTTCGAATAACTGAAAATTATTATAAAAAGACGTTTTAAAGACTTTGTATTTTTAAATACGCATAAAGTAATGATACTGAAATTGACAGAAACCAAATAATTTATAGAATTTTCTTAACAATAAATAATAAAAGAAAAAATTTAAAATAAAATTTCGCATATAAAAATTTGTGAAAATTATTTGTACAAGTTAAAGAAACAAGTATTTTTATTAAAAATCTATTCATAAAAAAATATACAAAAAATCATCAAATGTCTGCTATGTTCAGTGTCATAATAATTTAGCTTATACTAATTTCAATTCCTTCAAAAATTCAAATGTCTTTAAAACTGCTTTTTTGTTTGTAATTAAAAAAAAAAAAGGAAAGAGGTTATAAAAATTTTATATATAATTTTACAAAAAATATAATATAGTTGTCGCAACGGGAGAGTGTAGCTCGGGTATTTTCGGAATGGCTTCTCCCACTCTTACACAATCGACATTGCGCATGTGCGAGTTGGAAAAAGTCCCAAGCTAGTATTATTACGCGCGCGGTAGATTTGAATTTGTATTAATTTAATATTTTTCGGCAACAGAGAGCGCTCAATGATAATTTCCGTTTTAACCGCAAAAATTTGAATTCACTTTTTTAAATTGTTTAAAGACGTTCATGCGTTAGACTTAATAGTAGATATTTATTTATTTGTTCAAACGCCAATCGGCTTTATATACTAGGTTTACATAAAAAAAATCTAGTTTTAAGTGAAAAAATAAAATAAAAATAAAAAATAATAAAAATAAAAAATAAAAATAAAGAAGCACTAACATTTCGTTAGAATTGAATTTAAATTAAATCAATTTCATTTACTTTACAAGTTTAAATTTTAATAGGAGATATAAATTTATATTTTTTATTTTTGATATGTTTAATTATATTGTGATCTTTCCTCAAAAATTAAGAATTCGTTATCGATTGTTTTAAAAAGTTATTAACAATTAAGAATTAGATTTTTAACATTCAACCTCATGGCAGATCAGCGTTTTTTCAATTCTAAAATTATAATATTTATATTTCTAAAGTAGATATTATAATAAATAATGTTTGAAGAAATTAACTGATTCATGCAGTTTTTATAAATGCATCAAAAAGACATTGTTGACGAACGTTTAAATAAATTATTTATTACTTACTTAGTGTATTTTACTTGGTACAATTAAAATTATTTTGGTCGATTTTCGACAGTTCCGGAAACAAGTACTTGAATAAAGCTGATTACATGATTAGAAATTATAGATATTTTTAACCTAATAAACAATAAACAATAAAGATAGTGATAAAATCAACGACTAATTTCTATTAACTGATTTTATAAAATAGATGCCTAAAAATATTTACAGGAAAATAAAAAAAAATTATTAATCATGAGAAGATTATTCATTTAACATTGAACACATTATTGATATACTTCAAGATTTTTCTCAAAACCCCAATAAATTTCATAAAAAGTTAGTACCGCATGAACGTCCTTCAAGCTGCCTGCAATTATGGACATTGTTTATTCCTATGAAAAAATAAATTATTTTTTGTCTTTTTTTGTTATTTACATATAATTAATAATTTAAAATTAAAAGAAATTATAAATCCATATGTATTATCAATCATATCCATCATCACCATATCTCTGGAACCATAAGGCATAGATAGAGACTTAAAATTTGGTAAGAAATATTGTATATTGGTCTTTCTACTATTACAATGTTTTTTTTTTATATTTATTTCTCTCAACGTTTTAAAGTACCTAAGTGTAAAAAGCTAATTGGCGTATAAATATGTAAATAAATAAATAAATAAATGAAATATTCCTTTCGCCGAGTAGATAAACTCGAAGTTTTGTAGAAATCATCTCGAACAGGATCTTACGAAATTTCTCCTCCATATGGTAGTGCGTGGCGGTTTCTTGTCAAAAAATTAATATTCTTCAAATACAGTTTCCCCAGACATAAAATTTGTTACAACCTCCGTAGAAACCGGAAATTCTAGGGATGGCCTTCAGGGTCGATCGATTTAAATATTTTTCTTTCTTAATAAGATATCTGCTAAAAAACAAATTTTGCGATAATTGATTTCTTATGCAATTTCCAAACACTTGATATGTGGAAAAGAAATTCGGCTACTTATTTTAATAGAATTCGTAAAAACCATGTACAATTAATTTTCTAAAAAATTGATGTCACTGAGACAATTTTAATTAACAGAAAAATTCTTTGCACCTTAGGCTAGGCAAATTTCAATTTTACGTATATGGGATCTGCAATTACTTTGACTGAAATTTTCAATTTAAACTTTTCAAACTTCTTAAACTTTTTCTCAATGTTAATTGTTATTTGTTTTCGTAAGAAATTCACGAGAATGTTATAGTGATTGCACATTGAAAGTTATATTGAATATTAATTAGAATAATCACAAGGATAAAAGGTAAATGCTAATTCAACGAATTTGGACTTTGTTCAAGTCCATACAATATTCCAATTAAATTTCAAGTGTACATCTTATATTACAATTCTATAAAGCGCCCAGCAGAGTAGACGGGTAACAGCTACTCATAATATCAATTAAAAATTAACCTCTGAACAGATTAATATGACGGAATATGATAAAATTAAAGAAAGTATCAAGCAGAAAAACTGGCGACCGCAATAGGAAAATATTTGAATACTTTGATGGTGTAGCTCAAAAATATAAAGGTGTTAGAAAATTTTAAAGAATGTAAGGTTACTATGTAATAAAAAAGAGAGAAAATATAATTTGAAGATTGGAAGAAAACAGATTAACAGAAAATTATCGATTAAGTAACGATCAGAATGTACGTTTCAAATGACAGAATTTAATAAAAATATTAATACTTCCATTTTCAATGAATTAAAAAATATATTAAAATTTTAAAAACATCACATAAATTATCTTTATAATTATGATATAAAAATTTCCGTTTTTATTTGATTGCATTTTTTTTCTAATCAGTTTGGAGATCTTAAAAATGTTATTTTGTACAGTCCCCAAAGATTATAATTCTCGTCACAATTCAAATTTGTTCCTGCTAACAACGCCTTCGCTAACGCCAAAGACCCACAGCACCGGAAAAGTCGAGCTTTTCCATCACTGTCGTCTTCCGGTAAGCAGTTATTATTATCAACAGCGTGAGAGTTAAATAAAAAAAACTCATGGCCACCTGAATGCGGCAAATAGAGGTGTTTAAACGCAACGGTCTTTCCTTGGGTTATAAACAAATACCCACAATCATTCTTAATGGTTGGCTGTTTGGTCTCTATTTTTTCTACAATGCTGTCATTTAAACAGGTCAATGGATTCTCGTCCAGTAATGATCCATAGGACACATCTTTCTTCTCACTAATTACTATTAGCTTATTTTTAACCAAAAATGTTGGTAATAATTCATCTATATTGAGCATGTCCATATTTGCGACCGCCCTACACTGTAAGTAATATTGATCACCACCAATGAGTATGTCGTCCAAATCTTTCATGGTAATAGATGACAGATGATTTGGTAACGCGGCAATCGCATATGTTGCAATTGCAGTACATTGCAACCCTGCTTGTTGGTGGTGAAATAGATGTAGGCTACCCTGATGATAGTGAGCTGACTGGTACAAGTATACGTCACTCAATGAAGTCGAACGTTGATCCTGTTGTTGAATTGATAATTCCATTTCGTTCTGAAAAATTTATACAACTATAAATAACTTGGAAGGACATATTTATTTATATGTAAAAAAACCCTGCTACACCCACGCTGTGTGAATGTAGAGGCCCGTGAATTCACGTGGCATGGATTTATCTAGATTTTTTTACGTGTGAACAAATACCTACACAGAAAAAAAAAAGTTCTTGAATCAAGTTCATAATTTTGAAAAACATAATATCATTGATTTAAGAAAATTTTATTTGATTCAAGACAATTACCCTCTTCAAAATTATATTCTTAGTTCAATCATTTTTCTGTTGAATCAAGTTAATTTTTTTTTTCCGTGAATAACTTGCAATATTTTCGATTTTATGGAATCGAGAATTTCTATTTTTGTATGGTTTTTTTTTGTATCAAAGAATGGAAAAAAAAGTAATTAATTGTAGATACCTTTCCTAATTTTCTAAAATAATTTTTATTCTGTTACAAATCATTTTACATCTACAGAAAATTTTATAATTGTTCTAGAGCCATACTTTGTTAAATTCAACTTAGCTGCGAGGGTTCAGCGCCTAATAACTTTTTATCTATTAAAATTACGAGATTACTTAATCTAACTTTATTTTTAGAAAATTCTATTGTTAGTTTATATATTTTTCAAGTATTATGTATATATATATATACAACTGTTATGGTAAGTTATATGAATTTGCAATTATAAATGATTCACTGAATTGTAGGAAAAATATTTTAAAATATGCGTAGAATTTTTTTAAGAATTTTATAGGATTTTTTGAGATTGTTATTGATATGTTTATTGGTATAAGAACGTATAAATCACTTCTATTTAAAAATGTTTTCCTACCGTCTCGAAAAAATAACGATACAGCCATAAGTTTTGAGTAAAATCAATGTTAAAGCTTAAGTCATTGATGTTACTATTAACAGATTTACTATCGTCACTTTTGATTCTTTGGATAATAGATTATTATTGTATAAGTTTGAAACCATCCAACGAAAAAATGAAGCTGATTCATATTTTTGAAGAAAATTTAAAGCTCTATAAGAAAGGTCCATGTGAACCATTTTCGATCTGTTTTTATTATTTTATTAGACAATTTTGGAGTTCTGTTACTAATGACCAACTCAATAATTAGAACGGGTATATAGTTGTAAAGAAGATATACCTCTTTTAAATAAATTCCATCACTTGAAGCGAATTCTGAACATTTCTTCTCTAACTTTTTTGATTTTTACACTGTTAAGAAAGTTAAATTGATTCGAGAAACAAATCTTAAACGAAGAACCCGATTATCATGAAAATGTGTTTCTCGAGTCACGATAGAAAATTCTTTAACCAAGAAAGAATTTTTTCTCTTGATTCAAGAAACACATTTATTTTAAAAAAGTGTTCTTGTCTCAAGATTTTTTTGCTTGAGTTAACTTTACTTTTCTATCAGCGTAATAACAGGAAATTTACACCAATATTCATAATAAATACTATTTCGTTATAAGGTAAAAGCCCCAATAGCTGATCAGATCATGTACCAGTATATGATCACTTCATGTATTTGTATATCTTTGTTCACAAACTGTATTCTTATAGTTAAACAACTTTCGTATTTTAATCATAAGAAATACCAATTTTTTACCCATACAAGGAAACATTTTCTTGGTAGGAAAAAACTTTTTTTTCAGCGCATACTTTTTTTTTAGCATAAGAAGTTATTACGTATTACTAATTATCGTTCCAACAGCAAAGTTTTCTGTCGGCCTGGAAAGTACAAAACCATCAAACATCGCGTATAGAAATGTATTTATTTGTAAAAATTTTTATCATTGTGTGATCTCTGATTCAGCTTGACAACCTGAGTCAGAAAATGCCAACATTTTTCCAAAGTCGGATCATAAGAACGATATTTACATTTATATGAAATATATTTTTACAAAACAAAGTTTGGCTCCGTTTAAAACATTTTCCTGTGTAGAAAAATATCTGAATTGTTACAAAGTTGAAATAATTGTACTGAAAAAGGTGATTTTTACTGAATGAACATAGGAAAAAATTTTTTTTTTAAATTAATTGAAATATTCTAAGCTTCTGATGAACAAAAAAGAAATATCTGATCACAACCAATACTTACAGTTATTTCCTTTGAAATTTGTCCATTTTCCGCATTTTCCAATGTTGATAATTGTTCATAGCTCTCTAAAATATTCCGGAGCATCTGTGTCCGAAATCCGTTCATGTTTACAGTGTTTACTTTTTCAATTGTTTTTAGCATTGATAATTGTTCAGCATAAAAACAAACAAAAACGCCACAGTCGTAACTATTGTTTTGCAACGGGATATTCTGAAAAATTCATTTTAATGATGTACACAATTTTATAATATAAATGTATAAATATTTTATAGTTTTGTGGGGGTCATATCTTCCACCCACTCCCGGGTAATTTAATTATTATTATTTAGAATTATTTATTATTTAGAATTATTATTATTAAATTATATATAATTATCTAATTATATTATTTGAATATTATCATTTATATTTATTAATATTATTTAATTATTATTATTATTATTATTCATTAGTAATAGTTAAATAATATAGTTATTATTTAAGTTGAAGTTTTTCTACAACGACATTAAGGATTATGTTAGAAAAGCTTAGTTGTGTCGCATCACCATAAATTATACTAGATTATAATTTACTTGGTGATGCCAAACAACTGATAAAGTCTCGTCCGCTGCAAAAGTATTTTTTTTGGGAAATTTTATTTATTGAAATTGTATTGCAAGTAATAAAATTCACATTTGCAGCTGACGAGACTCTAATAAAATTTATTCTAATAGGATTAAAAATATGTAAAATTAGTCGGTAGGAAGCTTAAGGGTTTTTCCCAAATATTTCTACAAAATATTCTCAATAGCATACATTTTTCTAAAGAGCAATTAAGGGATTAAAAACTTTTGTCGCCTGGCCAGCGACCGGACCCAAGACCTCACTAATTGCTCTCTCTACCTATACCTGTATGTCTATCTATCTCTTGTAACTAAAATACTTCTGCAATTCTATAATTTGTATCTACCTAGAGCATCTATCCTGTACATATACCTACGTATATCAATTCTATAAGTTGTATCTACCTAGAGTATATCAATTTTCCATACTTACGTACATCTAAGTACTCCTACCCTTAAGATATTTTCTATATACTTCCATCGAGTACCTCCTACCCCTTGAGAGGTCGGGGGCCGAGATGGACACTTAAAAATTATCAGTTCGACCGAGTGACCCGTAAGCTTCGTATCGCCTAATTCTAGCTCCACTTCGTTTTTAAGTACACGCGTGTATTAGTAGTTAAATTTATTTAAATAAATATTATAATTGAATATCTTCGTTTACTTCACAAAAATAACTCAACGCCCTTGCATCCCAAAGTTTTAAATTTTATTATGATTTTTACTTGGTGATTAGGGTCAGAATGGAAATATTTGTAATATGAAGCGGTTTCTGAGTAAGAAAAGTACAGATAAATACTTCAATAACTTTCTACATTTTTAAAACGATTTATTACGGAGTTCAATAATATTTTTTTGTTGATAATGCTTTGATCGTACCTTGAAAATTATTGGGTTCTTTAACTTTTCTCATTTCAACTTACTAGATCTAGAAAATTATTTAGTGTGCAGTTATTGAGGGACAAAATGAAAGTTTTTTCGACTTATTTAAGATATTCATCGGGTAATAATAATCACATTAAAGTAATCGTATTAACAAACAATGTATTAATGATAATGAGTAAATTTACCATTCAGAGATCTATACTAATAAATGAAGAGTCGGTTTTTTTGTTCGATTATACTGCGATGACTACTGAACCGATCGGAATAATACTTATATCATAAGATGCAGCGTGTTTCGGAGAAATTTTTAGCATATGATATGTTGGTGATTACTTATCCGGAACAATATTTTTTTGACTTAGAAATAATGAATTTTTATTGTAATCAAATTTATTCTATTCGATTGTCATCAAGTCGATAGTGTTTTAATCAACGTCTAGCACATTATTGAGCTCGGAGAGCTCAAAAACGTAATAAATGTAGTTTTGTGCGCTCAAGTATGAAATGAGTGGGAAGTTGCAGGGATGGTCTTAAGGGTCAACCGTTTTCCTAATTTTTTTTTTTTTTTCATAGCAATTATTATTTATGTTCGTAAGAAAGACACGGGAATATTATAATGATTGTACATTGAAAGTTACAATGAATATTAGCTAGAAGAATTATATGAATAATAGGTGCATGCCAATTTTGGCAAGAATTGGCAATCTGTACAAGTCAAAACAATACTTTAATTAAATTTCAAGTCTAGATCTAAAAATGCAATTCTATAAAACGCCTAGCGGGGCGGGCGAGTAACAGCTAGTATTCAATAAAACAACAAAGATAAATATACCTTAGCGTGATTTTTAGCCCACTTCCTTGGTTGTGCTGCAGAATGTTCTCTTTGAAATTTTTTTTTTCCACTGCTATTAAAAAGTGCTCAATAATCTAAAAAAATTAATTATGATGAAATGTTTAGAACAAAATAATTTAATCTTCGTACACTTGTTCCGAATATCCATTTACTTACGTGTAAACTCTTTTCGTTTTTCCCACCGAGACTATCATAGTACCAAAGACTTGAGTTGGTAACATCGACGACACATAACGTCCAATGATGCCCCAAATGTATTGGAATGAATATTAAATTTTTTGTCAAAATGTCAATCTACAATATTAAATTTTTTATTTTATTTTAAAAATTTTTTGCGTTAAAGTCATGTAATTAAAAAAATAAGTAAACGAAATTTTTACTTTTCTTGTCCACTTCTGAACATGCTCGAAACCTTTGTTCAACTGTGGATAGAAGTGAGTGTCGAACGCAAAGGTATCCACAAGTGATCGATTCGACATTACTCTAAAGTATAGATTAATGACCTAAATGAAAATCAAATATTAATAAATAGCTTCTAAAAATGATCTTTTACGTACTATTATACTCTATTTTACTAGAATGGTTCTTATATTGTCAAAAAAAAAATTGATCATAAATTATCAGGCCTCTACTGACAGCAAAATAGACTCAACTTATTTTTATATCTTAAACTAATATAATAATTGTATGAGTTTCATCATCGTAATAATGTAACAGAGTTAATTTTTACTCGTTGTATTTTCCCAGTGTGAATAAATTATCGGCGCAGTGCTAGCACGCCTTGAATTCTAGGCCTCAGTGGTGTGTAAGTGGTGATTTTGGGCATGAGTCTACGAGTGAGAATGGAGAGCGACCGCATGTTACAAGGAGTTGAACTACCGAACAAACCAGTAGTTATTACTCAAGGAAAAGAAAGGAATATTTACTGATTGTACGAGAGTTACGAAACCGGTGAAGACCGAGCACGTGAGGAAATTATTGTTGGAACCCCCCCGGCTGCTCAATTTTAAAACACAGTAACTGCAAAACTTTTATACCTGATTTTTTTTAGTATTGTTACATTTCTAATGACTTTCAAACTTTAATTTCAAGTATTTCTACTTAAAAGTTTTTATATTCAAATATTTTCTATTCATAAATCAAATTTCTTATCAATTTGGCGTGCGAACTTTTTTTTAATGAAAAAAATTTTTAAAATTCTTCAAATTGTCAGTTACTGTGTTTTGAAATTGGGCAATCGCCCACCAGCTGCTCATGTACCAGTAAATGCTTACTGCATGTATTTGTATGTTTATATTCACAAATATAGATATACAAATATGGAGTAAGCATGTATTGGTACATGATCAGCTGCTGGGGCTTTTACCTTAATTCAATTAAATTAAACTAATTCTTAAAAAAGTTTGGAAAATCCAAAAGTGCACGCCTCATAATCTCATTTTTCCACAATAAAATTGATTAAAATAAAATATAAAAAGCAAAATAATAAAAAACAGAAAACTCTGCTATGGTTTAGTGGCGCCATAACTCTAAGGTGAGGAAAAAAAATACTATAATAAAATGTATAGATAGATATACAAAAAAATCCACAGTCATATATTAGTTTTTTATAAATAATAATTTAACGACAGTGAATTTAACGCTCATATTAATTAGGAAAATCCTTCGTGTGTAGATAATAAAAAAAAAATTGTTCCGGTACGATCATTTTTTCGACTAATTTCCCTGCCACATACACTCATCCATACACGGACGTCCAGAAAAAATTATGTTAAATGTTATTATTTACTATGTTAAACAAAAAAATTGTTGTTGAAATATATTTTATGTGCTTGACAAATTAGTCGACTTGTTATAAGTGTACTCATATTAACCTGTAAGTGCGATATAAATAACAAAAAATCAATTTCAGTTTCGAGAAAACTGCTTTTTTTGAAATGTCGAGAGAAGAGCACAACCTCAACGCTTCGCTTATGAGGCGTGCAAAAATTAAGTATTTTCACACAAGGTACACATCCATAGAGTTGATCGAGGATTGCTTTTAAGCCCTGTGCACTTAAAATGGTACCATTCACAACAATAATTGCAGTAGATACTTTTTTTATACTCCGACTCATCATCAACTGTGGTGTCTAAGCTTTTTTTACACAACATGCAATCCCACTCTTGTAATTTTTTTTTTAAATCATAAACTTGCTTGACTAATTTCCAAGCTTCTGGCGTTAAATATTTTTTAATTAAACCAATTTCAACAAATTCATCAAGAACAGCTGATGAAACTTTCTTGGGTGTTGTCTCTACCTCGTTTTCTTTAATCAAATAATTTGAATTTAATGCCTTAGTTGTTATATTTTTATCGACAAACCAATTTAACATAATAGTGGTTTTCTCGTACGTTGATTTTTTGTTAAACGGTTTATCAATTTTCTTTTTCTTCGTTAAACCTATTGCAGTCTGTTTCCAGCCTATCGGCCTTCCTCTTTGTTTAATTGCTGGGGGGACAGTGATTTTTTCTAATATTTTTCTTTTTTTTTCTACATTACTTGTAATTTGAGTTGAAGAGGATGAACATGGTACTGGAGATACTGATAAGGGTACCGGAAGAACTGATCAAGGTATTGGAGGTTCTGAAGATACTGATTTTTTATTATTCTCTGTAATGGTAATTAAATCATCATCATTGTTCATGATTTCTGCAGTAACAGGATCATTGTCACCATAAACTGTACTAATTCCTGAAATCATTGATAAATTCTGAACTTCAACTTCAGAAGGATCGGATGAATCAAGATCAGGTACGTTTAATTTTTTTCTCTTTTTTTGTTTAACTTTAATGATATTATTACTATTATTATTTTTGTTGTAGGATTCATCATCGTCACTGCTGTTAATGTCATCGCTCATATTGTTGCTCCGTTCTGTAAGATTGATTCCATCACCACCAACTCGGCTAGTACCACTGTGATCATCGTAGTCACGTTCAAAATTCCGTCTTCTTGTATCAACTTTGGTGTTATTTTCATTGCTGCAGCTAGCACCATCATTATTATCTTGACTTTGACCTTTAAAAACAGTTTCATCATCACCGTCGCTAGAGATGAGATTACCATCGTCGCTATTAATCCTAATGCCGTGATTGTTTATCGATTGATCATGACAGTTTATTACTTTAACAATCATTACTTCTTCGTCGTTTTTATAGGCGTTACACAAATCACGAATGTTTTGCATGCGTTGGATGTACAAATCATTGCTTTTTTCCGAAACTAAGCTTGCTAATTCTTTCATTAAAAGAGAAGCGTTCTTGAATTTTTGATGCTGTGAAAGAACTTTAGTTTTATATTCTCTAGATGTAACTATACATTCTGGAATTTCAGTTTCTGTGTCCGCTGTTTGAAAAACGCGTTGAGTTTTAAAATAGTATTTTTTCTTTCATCTTTCAAGGCATAATTTTTCATCGTATAAATCCATTTTTAGGGATTCTCTGACTGCGAATATATGCCTGAAATAATCAGTTATACAATGTAGAAATTTATTAATTGTTGTAAATATTTTAGTACACTAAGAAAATTTTATAGTAATGAGTATGATTGTATAATTGTAATAATATCTATCGTAGTATTTTATTGACTACAATTTGATTTTGATTGTTAATATTATGCCAGTTAATAATATTTATTATCACAATGGTTATAAAAAAACAAATTTTAATTTTTAAAATTCAAATTTGTTTCTGCAATTTTTTTAAAAATTATTTTATTATTTATTAATTTAAATGGAGTTTTTGAATTGACAGCATTAAAAAATTGACAATTCTAATTTTAAAGATAACCCAAGAAGTAAACGAATAACAGAATATTAGTACGATAAACGTTTGGGTCGGAAAAATTTTAAATAATAGAAAAAAAACACTGAAAAAAACTAATAAGGAGAAAAAATACAAGTTTTTTTAATCATAAAATGTTAGCTATTAGTATCATGGTGATAAATATTATTAGCTGTTAAATCATAACCATAATTAAAGTCAAATTTAAAAATTGAAGTTAGTAAAATATTCATATGTTATTGTAATCGAGACTTTGTAATAATCATTACTATAAAATTCTCTCTGTATAGTAGTTACTTATTACCGGCAAGGCAACAACATTGCTAGATGTCTTGTGCAATCACACGAA